TTTACACATTTATTCTATAATTACAAACGATAATAAGAATTATATATGTATAAGTATATTGAGATTGTGTAAAAGAAATGTTAAAGTAGGAAAAATAGTCTATTTGTTGTATGTCCTCTTTCGCCATTGTAATATAATAATTGGCCACAGATTTTTATTATGTTGAAGTCATTTTTATTTCTATGATCGTATATTTAGTTAATCCACTTGATGTCAATTTATTGAAATTTGATATAGGAAAAAAAGTTCAATTTTCATTTGAGTTATATTCTATTAGATAAAGCGTTACTTACTTTACAAACTCAGTATTATCTATGTAAATCTGAAGTAGTCATTCTCAAAACCTATAGATTTCTTTTTCAGACTGGTCTAAGATATGTAAATGAAAACAATATGTTTGACAAAGTTATTTCAATATTTTGATTCGATCAAAAAACGGCTGAGAGTTTTGTACTGGTAGAATTGGTAGAACAATTCTAGTTCTATTGAATAGATTAGGATACAATATCGAACAATTTAACTTTTTCGACTAATAAAATCTCAATGATTGCACTTCATTATTTGACTAATCGATGAATAGTTAATAGATATATAAGATAGAATTTTAATAATAAATCAATCAGATTTAGTATAGTCTGATGTGCCTTTCCATCAAATATCTCAATATGATTTTCAATTTCATTTTTAAAATTGTTTTACTGAAGTATATTCTTAGAATAAAAAAAAGAGCTATGGTTAAGTATAATGCGGATAAGGTTGAGAGTGTCACTCGAGGTGCAACAAATCCAAAGCCTTCGAATTTTTGTCGAATGACCTAAATATAAAATGATTTGGTAGAATAAGGTATGATCAACTCTACAATATTCTTAATCCTATATATATCCTACCCTTTATATCACTAAATATCGAGACATTGTGTGTGATTATAGAAAATATTAGAAATAATAAAAATAAATTCCAACTAATTGAACTAAAATTCATTAGATTTTTATCGGGTAGGGTATTAAAATTTGATTTTTCAATTTGGAAGATGGGTTTCATTCGATTTTAATCGATTTTTAATTAAAAATCAATTAAGAAGCAGACTTTTTTTGCATTTTTTTCAGATGCAAAGAGCATCGACGAAGATTGATCCGAAAATCCATTCTCGCTTGCATTCTCATATAATTAATAATCTCTATATTTAATATTCTTCTCAACATATATTCAATTAATTATCTCTGATTGATATAAACTACTCATTGTCTTAAACCTATCAATGACAACGATAAACAATAACCGTTTATATTATTCGTTTACACCAATCATAATCAACTCTTTAAACTCTATAACAACTATCGAAAATAATCATCGTTAACTAAAATCATAAAAATACAACAATTCGAAAATGATTCAAGTACTTTCATTCAATTGAATAGAATAGAGTCGACATTCAGTCAAGTTATTTCCTATTATTGACTCTGACACATAGGTATAACTCTGTGATCATAGGGGTAGAACTCTTATATCACAGGCATAATAGTAGAAGTTTACAAGCATATTTATATAAGGAAGGGTATAGATTTAAGGATAAACAAGGAAGACTTCACTTACAGCAACAATGTTCGCTTCGTTACGGTTTTATACGATTGTTTACAACTAATAATGATCATGAACGCTAGTTTATACTGTCATATTCGTCGGGACTCTGACCGTTGTTACGGCATATATTTATAGGATTGTAAACTGTGTAGGTATTCTGCCGTATGCAGTATGGTGACATACCATCGTTATATTCTGCTTATCAATAAGTTAATTTACAGCTCGTATATAATCGTCATTTTAACTTTGATGTTCTTTTCGGGCATTGTAAATGTCAGTGTTAGGACTGTTTACAATGGTGATTATGTTCAACCTAATATATGTCTATTGATAGTAAATGGTATAAATAGTGATAAATAGAAATGTAGGTATGTCTATTTCGAAAATAATATAATTATTCAATTTTATTCAATAAGATAATTCAATATAAAAGTCAATTGATAAAAATCTATTAACTATACCACGATCAATTTTATTCTAATAATTAGAATGATCTTATGTATATTTTTACATGAAAAAAGTCTCTAACATTGATAAAAAATGTTTGATTTTCGAAAAAAAAAATTTATAGTCAAATTTTAGAATAAATAACATAGAAAAAGTGAAAAAATCTCGACCAACTAGTAAAGTAAAAGTTGTCTCTACTGATCGATAAGAAATTTTCGATAAGATGAACTGTTTATCACTATCGATTAGAATTGTGTCTTCTCTAGATGAATATTTCGTGGAAGCTATTCTATTGCTCATTGAGATGTTCAAATAAGTGAAACATTTAGTAGATTATTTTATCTAATAACAATAGAAGAACAAGTAGAGAATATTTTATCAATCACTAGTTTAGACTATAGGAAAGTTTTACCAATAACAAAATTTCTGGTTCATAATTCGTTGTTAATATTCAGTTTGACATTAGTATATTACTTTAAAGTTCAAATTTTTTTTTTTTTTTTATTGAGGAGAGTTAAACAATGTTATGTTTATTCTAGATTATTTTGAAATTGTTCTGTTATTCTCTTACCCATATTCAATCAATATCAATTGGATTTTATGAAAGTCTTTGTTATCGGCGGTTCAGGTCTTGTTGGAAGTCACTGTCTAACATATTTTAGAGAAAAAGGTTGGAAAGTTGAAGGTTCACATTGTAATTATGCAACGGATAGAACCTCTTACTACAATACATTAGAACCACAAAATAAAAATAACTTCGATGTTATATCTTTTCGACCTGACGTTATTGTACATTGTGCAGCATTGACAAATGTTGATTATTGCGAAACACACGAAGAAGAAAGTTATCAACATACGTTTAAAAGTACTGAACATGTCTGCGAACTCTCAATGATATGTGGTGCACGAATGGTATATATATCAACAGATTATGTATTCAATGGTGATCATGGTCCTTATAATGAGAATGACATACCAAATCCAATAAATATATATGGAAAACACAAACTTCTCAGTGAACAACTTGTAATTAATTCTATAATTGATTCTTTAGTTATTCGTGTGACAAATGTCTACGGAGATGAAGCACGTGCCAAAAATTTCGTTGCTCGAATCATAAAACAGTGTCAGGATAATAAACAACCGTTTTGTTTGAAACTTCCATACGATCAATTTGCAACTCCTATTAATGCATATGATATAGCTCGAGCGATGTTTTGTTTGATAAGTGACAAAAAGAAAGGTATTTATCATCTGTCTAGTACTGATTACATGAATCGAGTAGAATTGGCTAAAAAAATCCTTTCATATTTAAATAATGATCAATTCATCAATGTTGAACCTGTCGATTCATCTACATTGAAACAAATTGCAAAACGTCCACTTCTAGCTGGTTTGTTAAAAGTTAAATTCACCAATGAATATCCAACATTTGTTTTCAATAGTGTGGATAATTACTTGGCTTCGATTAGAAAATATTCTTTTTCGGAATGGAAACATCCATAAACGACGTTCAGATATAGGAAGAAACACGCATTTTTTACTTTTTATCTTCCTCTTATCAAACAACTCGGATGTTAACTTTGTTTTCATCGTCAATCTAATAAGAGGATTTTTTCGAAATTTGATTATATTATATTTAATAATAAAAAGACGATTTATTAAAAACAATCTTTAACAAGTTTATAAAAGAAAAAAGTTCTTCTTCTTGTTAACATACAAGAATATATGATAGATAAAGAATAAGTTTAGTGCATAAACTAGAAAATCTTTCCATTTTTAAAAGGTGATCAAGAAGTTTTGACCCCTTTTGTAAAATAACTTTATTCATATGAATAAATATATTCGTATAAATGTCTTTATAGAAACAAAACTCTAGTAAAAGGTACTCTTCAACATCATACAAAATTGATCCTGATAACTGATTGTGTAAGAAAGTTCTAATCCTATAAATATCTTTTATATTTAAAAGTAAACTGTCTCTCAATATAAAATAAGGTTAAAACTGAAATAATGATTTGTGTCACTCAAACAATTAATTCCCATTAGTGAATCACTTTTAATAATATTTTATGATTAATTAAATGTAAAATACATTAATCGTTTATAGTTGGTAATGTGCACTAATCTTATTCTCGAATCGAAAGATTTCGACGTCAATAATAACCGTCTGGATTGAGAAATTCTCTTTCATTTAACTTATAAATTTTTTTTTAAATTTATTATTTTTATTGACTGCTTTCGTCATTCGTTTTCTTCTGAGAGTAGTTTATATAGAATATGTTAGTCAGTCTTTTACTAATTTTTTTCTTATATTCAATTTATTTTATCTTAATGATAGTCGATAGAAAGAAAAACATATTTCATAACGAATATATTTATAAATCTATTATATATATTATTAACCATTAAACAATTCTCAACTGATTTTACAATGGAAATTTATCAGTTGAATCATAGATTTAGAAATCTATCGAGTCTGAGCTTCTCACTTACAGTTTTAGTATTCGTTCAGTGTCGATTTCGATATCAGTCTTAGTCTTAATATCTGCAACTTGTGTGTCAATCTAAAATATCTGTTATTTACTCTCTTTTTCCATTGAATTAATGGACACATTTATTTTTATGATTATTTCAATATGTTTGTTAATTAACTGTTAGGCTCAAAATCATTCTCTCAAATCTAAACAAAGCATTTGTTGTACACCTACTGAATAGACTCTCTAGTGGTTGAATATTGTAAATTGTAAGATAAAAATAAATATATTCTTCGAGAATTTATTGTCTGGAGATCTTTACTAAATAAAAGATAAAAGAAGAGAAAAACTATTAATAAAAAGAAAAGCATAAATGTTTATTTTTCTTCTGAAAAAAAGTTGACAGAATATATAAGAATTGATAATAGAAGAATTTCAAAATAAAAATCGAAAGAAGATATTATTTTAAGAACGGCAAACTATTGGGTTGGCAAGAAATTTTTGTCGATTTTTTTGAAAATTTTATTTTTATTTTTTAATATCAAGAATAGAACTAGCTTTCAACAATGTATGCTCCATTCCTATCTATAACTTGTCGCCAACGGTCTGGTAGAGAAAGGATCCCGCGTTCGTAGAAATCCTGTGACTTTAGGTCAAAGAAGTTGGCGATGTCCATCTTGAGATCGCTTTCGTCGTCGAACTTTTTCTCGTTCAAATGATTAGAAAGAGAACGGAACAAATAGTAGTCCGTTGGAGCCAAGTCTGGAGAATAAGGTGGATGGGAAACAGTGATCGATTCAAGCTCCAATAACTTTTGGCGTGTCGACTTTGCTACATGGGGTCTGGCATTATCGTGCAAAAAGTAAATACGATCTTGTTTTCCTTTGACTTTTTCTGCAACCCGATCGAATTGCTGGCAGTAGAGATCAGCAGTGATGGTGCAATTAGCTGGAAGAAGTTCCCAATGAATAATCCCTCTTACTCCCCACCAAACACTCATCATAATCTTCTTTTGGTTAGGGTCATCTTTGGGTGTTGCTACTAGTGCTCGGCGTGACCAACTTTTTTGATCACGGTCACGGGCTGGGCTCACTGTGACCGTGAGTCACGGCCCTTCTTTCTGATTTCTTAATATGAAAAAAACCTTTCCAGAAAGACCAATTGCAAAGTTTCCCTAGGGAAAATCCTTGATGTTTCTGTACCAGGTCCTTTATGGATTCAGTCAGGATCTTTCCAGAATTCGCTCTTTTTTCCTGAGGAAACGACGAAATCCTGAAAGAAGTATGTAGCCACGGAATTTCAAGATCCCAGCAGGATTCGAAAAAGGATTATATCAGGACCCTGACCAGGTTACCATTGTTGTTTAACCTGGAATAATTTAGAAAACAAGATGTGGTTGTGGGTGTGAACAGATGTTCTACTTGTATTAACTGACAAGAACAGTCACTGATATACTCTCTTGTTGGCTTTTTGTTGCGACGCTCCTCAGTTTTAGCTGCAAAAGTTGACTGGATCCTTGTATCAAGATGTGTATCAGATCTTGTCTAAAATTTAATGAAATCTTGAGAGAATCCTGACAGATCCTTGCAAAATTTCTAAAGGAATGAACAGGATTGAGACTAGGGTTCTGTTTGCTATTAAAAGTGATGATCGGAGGAGGGTAGCTTCGCGGAGGTGTCCGTACTTCCCCTCAGAAGTTTCCAAAATCACGAATACTAGAAACTTCGCAATTGTTCATAAAAACTGATGACCGGGTGGGAGACGGTAGCTTCGCGAAGGTCCCCCTACTCCCTCTCAGGGATTTCCAAAATTTCGAAAAAGTTCCTGTGACTGACCGTGACCAAGCTCCAGTCACGGTCACGGTCACGATCTTTGAAAAAAGTCACGCACGGTCACGGCCGTGACCGTGACCGTGACTCACTGGTAGTCACGGCGGTCACGCCGGGCACTAGTCCATACTTCATGTTGTTCATCACATTTATCAAATTCTATAGCAATATTAAATTTAAAAAGATCTTTTCTCCTAATTATATTTTGTCTCATCATCAATTAAATAGTGACATTTTTCTTGATGAGCTCTGTTAGCATCATATGTGAGTCATAAGTGGGCATCAGCGGAAAGGAAAGAGAAATGAGAAAAAGATGACCTTTGTGAAACTCGAACCCACACCTTCTGCTTTCCGGGCAGATGTCCGAAGCCAATTAGACTAGAAGGACAATCTTAATCTCAGTTTAGCATCCAAGTGTATCATCATGGACGCTAACAAGCTCGTTCACGAATAATTCCTAATATACAAACAACTAATTCAACTTTACGTAAACTTTTATCATTTGGATCACCTATACAATAAAAAGTTCTTTGTTTTTAAAAGTATATATCGACTGGTAGATACAAAATTAGATGAAAATACTTCTGTTTCTTGATCTGTATTAATATTAGTATTATCATTCATATCTGAAATAACTAAAATTTTTTTAAAGAACAAGATCCTTATATTTTTATTATTTATTTTAAACAAACAACATATACAGAAAATATTGTCACTTAGAGTTCTTCATGTTTTGATAAATATTGACGAAGACGAGCCACCATTTCTTTTTTAATTGTATCAGGTACAAGAGCTAAACATATATAAAATCATCATATAAATATTTAAGAAAATAATAAATATTTACCACGGCCTTTTGCCGTTATTTCTTGTACAAGTTCATCAACTGTAATATTTTCAAGACCTTTTTCTTTCACAATTTCTATGATTAGAATTATTCATACTTACGAGGGAACATTCCCAAGGGTCACCTTGCTTTTGAGTCGAAAGCATGATTATTATATAGATATATGAATATCCTAATAAAAAGAGTTCGTGCTGCTAACTTATTGTTGCCGAATTATTGCGATTTTACGATAGTTTTAAGCAGAAAGCTGTGAGCCTCCTCAGAAATACGAAGAAAACTGAGTTTCGAATTTTGACTTGAGGCTTTGCGCAGAGACAGGTCACAATAAGAACAGTCTATTGTGAGAGTTTCAGACCTTTTCGTTGTTCGTAGTCTAAAATAAGGATAAACAATCAACTGTATATATGAGCAATATTTTACCATAACTGTATCTTAGGATAGAAACAGCCAAAAGAACTGAAATTTTCATAATAAACTATTCTCATCATGGCCTGTCTCTATGCAAAGTTTTACGTCAAAATTCGACAATCAGTTTTCTTCATGTTCCTGAGGGAGACCACAGCTTTCTCCTTAAAGCTATTGTAAAAAATGCAATATCTCGACAGTAATCAACTATCACCACTAGTTATTTTTAGAATATTCATGGATCATGACGGCCTATATAATGCGCATACGCTCGACCCACGATCGATGTGATACTAGGGAATGTTCCTTCGTTAGAATTATTTCGTATCGCATAATGGACAGGCTGGATGATATAAAGAATATGATTTTTTCAATATTCTATACAATCCAAGAGTATTATAGAATTATCAAATATCAGAAAAGTTTCTATAAGTAGCATCAGAGATCGAAACCAGATGAGCCCGATCGGGTTACACCTAAATCCTAGAAATTACTCCATGTGAAAATTTTATAAGGAAAATATCCACATCAAGAATGTTTTTGATGTCGAATAACGATCATCAATTTTAATAAAAAATGTATTAGAGATTATTAAAGTGAAACAAACTGATTTTTGCAATATTTTTTTTGCTTTTGTTAATTTCTAGCAAGTGACTCATAAAGAATAGAACAGTTTTTTCTTTTTTCTACAACTAGAATCACATTTTAAAGGTCCCTTTTTTAGTTCTTCAATATTATTGACTTTGTTTTACAGATCAGTTTTTCTTCTCGGTGAAAACTGAAGCTGGCCCACACGCGACAGTTTAAAAGCATGGGCTGATAGATGATTTTCGACATAAGAGCTCAATTAAAATTTGGAATATGCTACAAAATTCTCCATAGAATTCTCAATTTATCGACGTGTCAACAATTTTTTGCAAAAAAAAATTTTTGAAGGAACAATTGTAA